GTGCGGCGCCAGCGACGCCCGCCACGAGACCATCACGAAGCCAAAGTCGTCGACGCCGTGTCGCGTGAGGGCCGCCACGTCCGCCCGGAAGTGCGGGTCGAGCTTGTCGTGCGCGTTTCGCGGCTGCAGCATCACACGCACCGGCTGCGTGGAGGTGCTGGGGGCGTGCAGCAGGAACGGGCACGCGGCCTGGCCGTAAACCTGACCCTGCGCGTCCTCCATCGTGATGATAATGCGCTGCTCCACGCACCGCTCGCCCTCACCGCTATCATCTGCTGCTGATTTGCGCCCCCCACCATGAGACGCCGTGCTCACAGGGGCGTGAAGCGTACTGCGTGCCACCACGAAACGCAGTGTCTCATTAAAGACTGGCTTCGAGGTGAAGTACAGGCGCCGTGTTGAGGCGACAGACCGCTCACTCGCTACGACGTTCGTTGTCGTCACCGCCGCTTTGCTCCCAGCACCAACGCTGCTGACGCCACGGACAGCGGTCACCTTCTGTAATGTCAGCACACCCACGTGGGCCACCGGGTCACACTGCAGCAGCCGCGCCGTTGGGAGAAAAGCGCTGTGAATCGTCAACTCCACTTCGAGGTCGAAATCGACCTTCAACGGAGCGGTTGCCTCGTTGGTCGCAGATGCAGTCATCGCAAAACAACACAACGGAGGCCTTGCAAAACCAAAACGAAAAACGTATAGAAACAGAAGACAATTAACACAGAAACCGATGTGTTAGGACAACAGAGGGTGCGTAGCGCTTGTTATTGACACAAAGATGGAGTAGGACAAGAATAGAGAGGGAGAATACAGAGACATGCTTCGTTCACCACATCGTTCGTTGTGCTTCCTTTTTTTTCTTTTTTTTTGTTTCTGACACGTGTTGGAGCTACTCTTTTTTCTTCACTCTTCCCCTTTGGCCGTGGCATCTGTTCGTGGCACTGCGTACCTCTCCTTCTCTCTTTCTTTATTCTGCTGAACGCAAAGACACTGAAATGAATCGCTTTCCCTGTCCTTTTCTTT